GGACTCGAAAGTGAAGAAGAATGGCTTCTAGCCCTGAAATGGAAGTCTAGCGGCTTCCTAGATGTGCACTGGCCGTAAAAAGAGTGCAATTTTGAGGTACCGCCCTTAAAATCAGTGCGAGGTTTTCATTGCATTATTTTAAAAAATAACATATACGGAAAACCGAGATCTTTCTACTGCATCGCGCAGAAACAGAATTAACGACTGTCACAAGCTGCTGATTACGCCCGTCAAGATCGCGACTTAAAATAGCCATGAAGAAGCCTGTGGACAATGCGGCAGAACAAAAAGCGTCAGCAGTTGGAGTAACCAACGATCAAATCTAGGCCTTCTGCATAATGGCCTGTTCCACTAATCAGACAAAGCAGTCTAAGAGCTTATTTGTGACTGTCTGCTCTTAAGAACAGTGGTCACAACACATGAGTGCATGGATTTATCGCCTACGTGCTCAAGTTTTACGATGCGGCTTGGCTGGACGACCCACAACACTGTAAAGCTGTCGAACGATACAATGCAGTTATCTATTGACTGTGTCCATGAGCTACCTCAACTGGCCTCCTACTGGCACTAATATCTGTAACAATGTGTTTTACGTTGTCCGTGAAACATGCTTGCGGGAGATTACAAGACATCAGGTATGGCCTGGTCCTAGAAGCAAAATTGACGATGGATTCCTAACCGTTGCGATAAGCGTTGTCGTCGAAACCCATTGGCACAGAGGTGTGCGGCGTTGGTAGCCCCTGGTTCGAGGAGCAATTCTGTTATTTTCAGCGCCAATAAGTAAGAAACCAGTCCATGAGTGCATTGCGACAAGCGGGTAACATATTTCTTTGTTCCTGATAGCGCTCCAGTGGTCGAACCGACTGAGATTCACTTTGAAGTAAATCGTGATTCAAGTTGAGATTGTGTGTGTAGCAACCCAGTCAGTTGCATCGCTCCACTGTTCGAAAGAGTCGTTTCCGTAAGATTCTACGCGCAGAGGTAGCTGAGGGAAATTCAGGCCGACTGTGGTCCCGCGAATACTACTGGGAACACTGGCTTCACGCGAAAGCAAACTAATGTGAATGTTCTGCGCTGAAAGAACGGAGAACAAGTCAAAAGCCAAATACAATTTATTGGCATTGTACAAAGACATATACAGCAATGGTGGGACTGAGACGGAGGTATACACCAAGGTTAATTCGTGACAGTGACGTTGAATGGCATCAGCCTAGATGATCCAGGTAAAGGCGTAAAACAGTTAGCTCCCACGTTCGTACATAACAAATCCATAGCTTGTTGACAATGCCAGAACTACTAATGGTTGAAATGGCTGAGGTTTAAGTGCGACGAAATCTACCAACTAGTTGCCAAAATCAATTGTTGAACACTGTGGCAATCCACCACTTGTAGGCAGGTTTGGTGACTCCGTGATCTCGCTCTTAGTCCTCGGTGTATTTGCACCATTAATACCTTCAAAGGTTTTCGTATTCGCTGAAAGAGATCGAACCGTACACCGATAAACGAAAATGTCCCACTGTATACCTATGTCAACTTCCGCCCCATAAACCACACGCCAATGGCGTATACGATGGAATGGGGTGTTGGAGATACGAAGCTCGATCCCATGCATTAAACAACTAACCTAATAAGTCATGCGACTATCGGTAAAATACAGTAGTAATCGCACAAGTGTCGTGCGCTCATTGTAATTACTCGCTTAGTCATGCAAAAAGGATGTGACCTCGTGCTTCGTCCATGTCCATTCCTTTAAATCGAGTGCTGAGAACTCAAATGAACGAAATCGGGAGCCCGAAGGAACAGGTCCGGTTAGTTCTAACTCTGAAAACATAAAAGGCACAGATATGCTTCCTAGCAATGACGGCAACACTCGAGGTCATTCACCATTTTTAAGGAAACATTTTTCGGCATGTTCCTTCGATTTACTTGGATGTCACTGCTATTGGGAGGTGTTTTGTTACTTCAGCTTGTTCTCCACTGTGGAACACATCGTTTCTGACTGGCCTTCTGTCCATGCATCTTTACTATTCTGTCTTATGACGCCGCTTGTGGGACAATTCTATCACGTCAACCGTAAACACATGCTAGTTGCCAGCCTACTTCCGACACAATAAGCTATATTGGCTGCTAACATGGAAGGTAAACAAATTTATCTGAATACCTTAATACTCAACGCTACGTGTATTTGTTAATACAGAAGAAAAAATACTACATGTTTCTAAATACCATGAAAACAGAAAGAGGGCAAACCCGCTATCGCTTCAGTGGAACAGATGTGAAGGTATACATACCGCAGTAATAAATCGCGCAAAACTGCGTTTTACCTCGCATCGTGTACCGTCCAGAGTACCGCAATTTCTAGGGCACTTCAATTATTTTTTAAAAAAGAGTTTACATTGTCACAAATGCGTTTTCGAAGAATTTCCACCTAAGTTTCAGATTATACTACGTGTGCTTCTTGATCCATGGTAGATCAAGTGTACTAGAAAATGAAGTTGTTAGAGAGCAATAAGTAAAATTGGGAATTAGATATATGCAGATCACTTTGATTATCAAAACCGCAAGCACGGGTGATTAATGGCTATGGATCTAGCAAAGTACGTGTGCATAACTATTCATTGCGAATGGTTGTGCGACATGTGCATAGATTGCAGCATCTGCCAATGAGGTTGAATAGTTCTGATTGCATTAGGGGAGGACACGCTATTGTAGCCATGCTCGCCCACGCTTTTGTTGCATCGAAACAGACGGTTTCGCTATCCACCCTCATGAAGAGCGTCGTGTTCTAGTGCATCGCGGAACATACAGGATCCTTAGGTGGACTAAAAGATGATCAGTTGGAGGCACTTTGCAAAACAATGGTTACAAATACACACTAGTTGTAGTTTGTTCTGACACCCAGCAGAGTGAGCAATACTTGATCATGTGGAAAAAACGAGACAGGAATATCAGATTGAGTTAGTAAAAGGCATCCGCAGTAAACCATCGCTCTGTACTGATGATTCAGTGCTATACACACATATTTCGTGGACCCTGTCAAGATGCCAAATGTTAAACGGAAATGAGGACTTAAGCCTGGTGCGGTGCACAGAACTACTTCCTATAGAGCACAGTTTCACACACGGTAGCATTCAAGATGATGAAGCCGAAAACGTCAGTTGGCAAACTTTTGATCCAAAAGCTATGACCCGGCAGTCAGAGCAAGCACTGCACATAAATCGATCTTCTTTAAACTATCTTTCAAAGGTGACCAAGTTGTGAAGCCCCCGAGGAACGGATAGGTGCTTCGCTCAAAAGAGCGCACAGCGCAGCGGAACTGCTGCTGCTCATATCGACGAGAGCTATACTTATGCATTCGATTACGACAACGACGACGAGGAAGCGCATGTCTCATTGTTTAAATAAATTCACCAGTAGCTTGGGGGACAGCTACGTTGGGCGCACTAAGCGAAGTCTAGGTGTCAGAATCAATGAACACATCCCCAAGTGGATATGCATGCGAATAGAGTCTGTGACGAGGAAATCAGTTGGATCGGGAAGCCGAGCGGCTCAGGCAGTCAGAAAGCACTAGCTTATTACCGGGCACCGAGTCAATTGTGTGATCGGCGGCTCGACATGTTTAGACTACTGAGGGCCATCGTGATGGACCGTGAACGACCGCTGCTGTGCATTCAAAAACAGTTGACTGTGGATTTAGGTGTGCCTTGGAAGCGCAAATGCTTGGTTATTTACGAGCGCGTTGGCATTGTGGTCGTTGCTTTACCTATCAATGTTGCATGTTATGTGATTGATGAGAAGGCACGAAATGGTGACGTCCTTACAATTTATCTCCTCGGAATTTTATGTTCAAAGCACATAACTCAAACTTGCCCCCTGCTCATTTTCGCTCGATCTGAGCCTGCAAACATTACTGTGACTAACAGGTGCGATGTACTGGATAATAAGATATTTGGTGAAACAGAAGCGGGGGATATGGCGCCAAACGAAGTGAGTTCGTGAGGCTGAAGAGGAGTTCGCTTACTGGAGCAGAAGTCATCGGGTTACTCAGTGGGTGCCTGTAAGTGGAAGGCAAATCGACTGTCCGAAATTGAAGAGAACGGGTGAAAGTAAAAAGCGCAGTAGCTAGAACAAACACGAACTACAGAGAAACATGGGGCTACCAAATGTATGTATCAAACAACGGAAGTTCAGACCTCGGTGAGTGAACGCGCAAACAACGCAGAAAAGCAAACCGAACGCAAACAATAAAAAGCTTGAAAGTTTTATGGCGAAACTTGAAGGATAGAAGGACAAGGATAAGCTGTTCACGTTGGAGAAGTAGGGAGATTCGGGTGCAATTGTCCGAGTCACCTGAATATACACCTCAATCGCTTTGGTGATGTGAAGTTAGAACGGTTGGGTAGCACCTCACCAGTGAGAAAAGCATCTGCACAACCAAACACCAAGCAAATGGAGACACAAACGACAGGATGGTGACCGATCTAAGACACGGTGTGTCAACCGGGGATCGCAAGTGTGCCTGAAGGTAGTAACCTAGATGAATAATTGTGCGAGTCAGCGACACTGTTATTTGCGTAGGATAACGATAAACAGCAGTGTCCAGAATTGAACGGGATACTGACGCCAGGCGATCCTACAGTTGAGCTGATCACAGAAATTCGCAGGTGTGATGAATATCAAGTAGGTTGCGACAAGATAAATTAGCAAAAAGTGCGTAAGGGCATAAACCAGTAGGCATCAGCTACCCACATGTGGGTAGGCTGCAGAAAATAAACCCATGTCTACACATGAAACGTAAAAGATGATGATGATGAACACATAATAGAGGCAGTGTCTACGTCCAAAAGCAGTGACAACCAGTGCGGAAACACATATCGACCGAGAAAAGTAAATCGAAACTTGACAAAAGAAACGCCCAAGTATGTCACAGGTAGGAAAAAGGCATATTGATATGCATGGTAGTCAATGTGTACTGAGAAGATCAACCTGCAAGATCTCACTTTCAACAACTGACTCTCTGCATCATCTCGTAGCTGTCCGCGTAACAAGCGTCCGTGAGCCCAATCGGGTCCTAATGCGGCTCCCACACTGTTTGGCCCAGTCTGAGGAACATCACTCGGTTGGTTTGCATCGGCCGGAACGAGCAACAGGCGTGGTTCAGGTAGGTCGGTTTTTGTCCCGGTGTTTTCCGGTGGATCAGGGGCAACCACATACCGCATACGTCGTATGGAAACGGAGTTGGAACCATCACCCATTGCGTAGCCAGAATCACAGGCTTCGGTAGGGACAGACTTGAGAGCCATCTCACGGGCTTGGAGTATGAATTTAGCAGCAGATGGATCAAGGAAAGGAGCGCTGATGCTTGTATGCTTAACGGCCCATACAATTTGACAATCACGAACTTCATGGGCTATTTCCGTGGCGATTCCACCGTTACCTATCAATACGAGTCGACGAGTGCCTGAGAATCGGAGTAGGGGAAAAGAGCCGTGAGAGGAATTTGAAGCACAAAAAAGCTCAGATAAGCCGGTGGACGTGCAAACGTCCATTTCTTAAAGGTGTGTAGTGGCGTGTATAGCGTAATAGCAAAGCCTTTAAAGTAACTATAGAAAGTTAGTGGTATGTAGTTGATGGAATACTAGGTAGTTGATAAAAATAGCATAAGGTTAAGTATACTAAACTAGGTCCCAAAAACTGGATAGTGGTGCCGTTGACGACGAAAAATCTGAGTGCATGACAAACACGATGGATAGTTCAGTGGGTTTGGAAGAGTGCGTAGCTGCAAGAACAGTAGCGTGTGAGCAACATATGTTTGTAGGTTTAGCTTACTGGAAAGACGTAATCCAGCAGTGTGGTGTAAAATCATTCTGTCGTTACTGTAACCACAAGCCAACCCCAGACTGACTCATGGAAAAAGGTGTGTTATAGAGCAGTTTAAGTTATGAGAAAATTGTAATCTCAGAAGCAGCACAATTAGTGAAAATGCTACGCAAAGCGATAGTGGGCGTGGGCGCTGTAGCGACTATACAAAGTCTAGGCTAATTAACCGCACGAAACGGGATAAGGAAACCTTAGGGTAATAATAAAAATAAATCATCAGCTGTACACCGTAACGGCGCCTCGCTGCCACGCAAGCACCACCAGTCCCGCGTGAGCTGAGAATACCGCAAAGACGCCCGCCCGTACACGGATTCGAACCAGTGACTTAATGATTGCAAAGCAGAGAGCGCGGATTCGAATCCGCGTAGGGGTGAGCGTCCTCGCGGTATACTCAGCCCGCGTGCGACTGATGGTGGTCGCGTGGCAGCGAAACGCCGTTACGGCGTACAGCTGACATGCTATTTATTTATTGGACCCCCGGCCGAGGAGATAAAAAGTAAATTCCTGATACCGTGGTTCCACATTTCAAATTACTGATAATAAGCAACTTACTAGTGGATTTTTAATAATAATGAGAAAGGGCGAAAACTGTAGCTCCGTGTGAACAAAAGACAGGTTGCCCTAGTCGACATATTTGGTGACAAGCTGATGGATGATCCCTGCAGCATACGCTTGAGGGTGGAACTAGTTCGACACGCCTTGAGTGAGTGCGTAGCATTTTTCGGCATCAATATTTGCGCCACGCACTGCCTGCCTATGGACAGTGGCATCTGTGTTCAGAATAACCTGCCGCCGTGAATGCGAACAAGCACAGAATGTCTGAAAGTACACAGCGACCATTTCACTACATGGTACAAACAAAACACCCCCTATACATTGTTAAACCGAAGCAAAATATTGAGAGGCATGCGGATAGGAGTTATGAATGATTAGTTGTTTCAAATTCCTTCAATATGCATGTGACTGGTATCAAAATGGAGGAAATGCGTAGCGGACATCTACAGGGAGACGGCTTGTGTGTAGTTTGTTCCATGTTGAAACAATTCTTTTGGACAGGCACAAATCACTCGTATCTAGTAATCGAGATGGCAATATCGGATGCTGAGCACTTTGCTGATAATGGAAACAAGTAGTCAGAAACATGATATAAAGAGATGATAGATGTCGAGCACATGTTCACTGATAGAGCGAAAAGGTAAGCGTAGCGATGATGCCACACGTGTGTCACATCGACTGAGGGATTGGAATGTGTCAAAACTGCTTAAGCATTACCTTACAACAAACTGCTCCGATGGCCTTTGAAATCAGATCATTCACTGAACAACTGGAAGTTGAATGGGGCCATCTGCACGAAATGTGAGCCGGCAAATATCGTGTCAGGCACCGTTCACATTATCTGCCGATAAATTATTAATGTGGTGTGGCATTTTTATATCCTGTTTAACCGTTAACTGGGACGCGATACATCAGCTACAGCAGCAACGTGCGAAAGACAATTGTTGAGACACAAGGAGCAAATGAAACACCATTATTCCTTTTGAGTAACCACTGAATCGTTGGTTTAGCCAGTGAGGACGACGTGAGCCTTAAATACCACATGAACAGTAGGCTGGCTAATGAATATCCATCATTTGGGTGTAAAATGAGACAGCCTTCCGCATGCTACCGTCTACAGTCAAGTGTGTGTTGTTCACACACAAAGGATATGTGTATAGGCGCATGGTGATTGCACTCGATTCAACAGTGCTCAAGTTCCGACTCATCATCAACACAAGTAAGACAGTATGTCATTTTGGCCATTGCGAGAAATGGAATCCACAGATTTCTCGCTAAGCCGAATCTATGACTAATTACTACAGAAGAATATGACTGCATGATAGATTAGAGTGATACAACCCGAACCCGAAGATCCTGTGCAAAAGCGGAATTGGAAGCTTAAACGGATAAGTACAAGCCAGCATCGTTGCTTCCCGACTCATTCACCAAGATATGTCTGCGTTGCGATTGACACGGTGATTGTAATAAATCCACACCACGCTCGAACTATACATGTAGGAAAGAGCACATGTCTCTTATACATAGTGTGTATTCCCACCTGATGAACCTAAGGTGGCCACACATGATGTGAACGCTGACAGGGAACATCTCGGGCTAGTGTACAGATGTTGTTCTAAGCATTCGTACACAGCGAAAATTGCGCACCGATCCGTTTGCATCGCATCCCGTGCCGGCCAAGAATGCTGAACCACAGTGTGGGCGCGCGACAAATGCATGGGCAATTGGTTCCCCAGAGAAGCGATGGTGAGCAGATTGCTCTCGTACAATGAGACCGACAAATTGTGCGGCTTTCTGCCCAGTATTGGTTTCCACGACTCCAACACAAATTGCTCAAATAATCTTCTCTCGTGCCATGTAGGAACTGCTAGAAACTTGATGTTCGGGTCGGCGACTGAAGCGAACACCTCCTTGGATAATTTTTCCACAGGAACCAGACGGATGCATGTATACTCAGGAAGTTCGGCAGGGCTAAGCGCATGCCACACATCACAATGAGCTAAGGCCCGCTGACGAACAGTTCACTCGGGAGAAAGTAAACGAGCGTATTGCAGAGATATCTTTTTTCACTCCGGTGAACAGATGAAGGAAGTAAACTCCGGCGAAATGCAAGTACTCCATCATTGAGGCTCCATGACTTGTTTGCGTCCGAATGTGATTTGCTATTCGTCTTTTGGGTGAAAGCTTTGGCGGCCACTGCCACGTTTTAATTCTAAGTAAATAGGCACATATTAGGATGCAGAAGTACTTCTTCGAGTTGAAAATAACTCCACAGGGCAACAATCTCTGGTTGTGCAAATGATTCATACACTACTATACAATGCAGAGAACCGTATGGGTTCAAAGAGACGGTTAATTATTGTTGAGAGTGGTGGAAGTTCGCGTGACAGCGATGAGCTCAAAGAGCAGCTACGAAATAGCATTCATCTACTAACATTAAATGATGGGCTGGATAGTAAACACCGGGTTAATGCACATAAAATATGTGTATGTTGGTCTGTAGTGCGACGCACATACGATCGTTTGATCATCTCATATCTGTCATCTGTCTCATATCTGTCATCATTCTACATATCGGCTTAGGGTCAGAAACACCCTGGATAATGTGCAGCAATACTATTCTAAGATGGTAGTACAATAAAACAAAAAGACAAGAGTAAAACAGAAAACACTATTTCTATTCTTTAATGTGTATTGATATAAAGATTGTGGTTGGATAAAGGCGTAATGGAAGGAAGCGGAAAAAAGAAACAACACAAACGCCACTGAGGTCGCCTCGTCGCCATGTCAACCGGTGAGTCGAGAGACACCAACCGAGGCCAACTACGAAGTGAGGGACTTCATTCTTCTTGACCAAATCATCGCTTGGCCTTCCTCCTCTTCTTCCATCCATACCCAGGTCGCAAAACTATACATTAAACGGGAGCAAGTGTTTGTATGCATAACTCATGAGCCCGCCATCGGAACCTGGTGTGTGATGCTGTAGGATTCACTTACTCTTCGTGTGCCATGATCAAGACGACGAACACTCATTGCTAACGCTTTGCTCCCACCAGATACGAGCCAAACTGAGAAGACACCAGTGGTCGAACATAGCTGCGATCTGAGAGGGCAGTTTCCACAACCGCATAGTAGGGTTGAACAGACGTCTGCATTGTAGACTCCATATCTTAGGGCGGGAACAAATCCAAGCCGTGTTAACTGGATGCAGTTGCATAACTTCATTCGTTGCGAAATTTAAAGGGCGACAGGTGGCATCCTCCTTTCGCACCGCCAGCGGCATTGTAAGACAGCGATAGTCCGCCATAAACCCTCACTCTGCCCTAGCTATGCGCGCAAAGCGCTCTGATAATGTATTTATATTCATCGGGAAAACATTTCCTGATCAAACAGTCCCATCAGACACATCGAACGATCGAATTGAAAGCATCTTTGCTGTTGAGGAACAAGACTACGATGAATCGCCAATATAACACGCGGTACCCCAATAACTGGAGCAAAGTGAAGATGTACTCAATGCGGCCTGGATTTCGACGAAATCATACCTATTAATGAATCAGGTTTCAATGGGCGCCAGCCAATCTGTGAAGAACGACAGAGACAAGTAGCTTGGAGGTGATAGAGATCATATCGATAGCTCTGTGACTGCCGCATTGTGGATGTGTGCCCCACTTGAAGATCGTAACAATAAGAGGGGCTGTTCGTCGAACTGTTCGCCGAGCGTGACAGTTTTGGTGCAAATGCCTTGTCACCAATTAAGGTGACATCATCGGTGCATTGATGTGCAGCGGAACGGCGATGGAATGGTTGTGGCAAAATTTACAAACTCAGTGAACAGTTCGGCTAACAAACCAATAACCTGTGATACATCAAGTAGAAATAATAAGCATATGAACCCGAGGCCCTTGGAATATCATTCGAAACCTCCATCCCTGAGCCATCAAGTCAGGACGGGCAACACAATAGCTAATGACTAACTGCATGGGTCATTTTTAGGCACTCTATGTGTGGAATAGATTGTGACTC